CTCGATTTGATGCTAAGGATTGGTCTAGAAAAGTTCAATGGATCACAAAAGGATGCTTAACTTTCAGAGAAGCATACGAACGAACCGGAAGGATTCTAAATATTACTGTTATACCATATGACCCACATTCTCCGCCTAAAGTTTTGAATTATATTACTGCTCCTGATTGTGTCATCTGGTCTGCTGGTAAGTTCCGTTTTATATTTTTTTAATTTATTCTTTAATAATTTATTATAATCTTATTTAATAATTTATACTCTTATTAATATATTATTAATATTAATTTATAGTAATTGCAAGTGCTGCCGTGCCTGGCATTCTTAATCCCGTGGTTCTTATGCAAAAATTGAAAAATGGCTCATTATTTCCATACAATTATGGTCACAAATGGAAAGATGGTTCTTTACGTACCGATATTCCTATTCAATCACTTTACATGCACTTCAATGTGAAAAATACTATTGTTTCTCAAGTTAATCCCCATATTCATCTATTCTTTTATGCCCCACGTGGCACTGTTGGTCGTCCTGTTAGTCACCGTCATGGTAGAGGTTGGCGTGGAGGTTTCGTTGTTGCTAGCATAGAACAATATTTAAAGTTGGATTTAAGTAAATGGTTAAAATGGGTTAGGGATCTTGAGCTTCTACCAAGGTTTGCTGATCAAGATTGGAGTTCTATTTGGCTACAAAGATTTGAAGGAAATATTACAATATGGCCAAAATCTTCAATATGGGATTTCTTTTATATCCTTTCTGATCCTGATTACAATAGATTGGCGCAAATGATAATTAAAGGTCAGCGTGTCACATGGCCAAAACTTCACATGATCTCTAACCGTTTAAAAATTGAACGTGCAATACAAAGAGGTCGTAGCGAATTGAAACGTGAAGAGCGAAAAAATAGATATGATCGCTTTGCTCCTAATGATGGATTGGGCAGAATTGATCGTGATAGTTCAAGTTCTCCTGACGGACTCAATCATCCTAGTCTTCTTAGTGGCAGTGACGGATTTGAGCATTCGAGTGGTCAAGATGAATTGGATGAAATAAAACAAACTAAAAGTGATGATTATGGTGAAACAGATAGTGATACTAGTGGTGGTGTTGGTAGTATTAGTGAAGGAGGAAATGCTTATGACATGTCTTCAACTAGTACTTCATCATCATCATCATCATCATCCGATGATGATGGGTTAATCACCCCAGATGATGGACAAGAGTTAATTTAGTATATAATATCGTTATTATTAAGTAAAATTATCAATTTAATGATTTTAATATATATATTTTTTTAAAAAAAAAAATTTTTTATTTTATTCTATATTAGCTAAATTAGACCAAACTAAATTTATTTATACATCAATTAAAATATGACACTTGCTAAAGCTGTTATTTGTAATTAAATCTTATTTTTGCAATTAGATCTTATTATTTATATAAATAATAAAATATCTTTGTAATATATAAAATAAAGGGGAATTTACATATCAGGGCCCAAAATTGTTGAGTTGGGGCCTAACTTAATATTTATAAAGGCCCAATGTTTGAAAATACGTATTACAAATAAATTCGGCCTTCAAAATTACGGGTTACATGAGAAGTAGTACCCTAGCAGAACTAGGACCCTGAATATACTGATTAGTACCTCGTTGTTCGGAAGTGTAAATTTAAAAGGGAAGTTCGACAGTTATTAATGTACGGATATAAAAACTTGACCAAAGTTTGAAATACAGTTTATGACAAACTAGTATTTACCTTTGCGTACAGAAATGTAATAAATTTTACTACCATGTACCGATTTGCAATAAAGATTTACATCTACGTATAGATTTATCATTATTAAACGATTTGTTTATAATTCACATACCAGGCTAGAACAGCACCAGGATGTTCAAAGGAAGAAGTTTGTTTGATTGGCTAATTTTATGTAGATCATTCGTAGATCACGATTTGTTTTTGTAAAATCTG